TTTTAGTTTTTATTTAAATTATGGTTAGTTAACATATAGTGTAATACTGGTTTTAGGAATAGAATTTTGTGTTTCATAACAGATAGCACCCAGTGCTCATCATATGTGCCCTTCCTTTTTTTTAATTTTTAAAAATGTTTACTTATTTTTGAGAGAGAGGGAGAGAGTGAGTGAGAGTGCATAAGCAGGGGAGGGGCAGAGAGAAAGGGGGACACAGCATCTGAAGCAGACTCCAGGCTCTGAGCTGTCAGCACACAGCCCAATGCAGGGCTCTAAAACACAAACAGTGAAATCATGACCTGAGCTGAAGTTGGATGCTCAACTGACTGAGCCACCCAGGTACCCCTCACGTGCCCATCTTAACACATATCACCCATTTAGCCCATGCCCTGCCTATTCCCTTCCAGAAATGCTGTTTGTCCTCTGTAGTTAAGAGTCTCCTATGGTTTCTCTGCCTGCTTCTCTTTTTTTTTTTTTTTTTTACTGCTTCCTCTATATATACTGATCTATTTTGTTTCTTAAATTCCACATATATGTGAAAAGATACGGCATTTGCCTTTTGCTGACTTATTTCACTTAGCATAATATACTCTAGCTCCATCCACATCATTGCAAATGGCAAGATTTCATTCCTTTCTATGGCAGAATAATATTCCATTGTGTGTGTGTGTGTACACAAATGTGTACACACACATATATATACATAACACACATGCATACACACACACATATATATACACATACACATACATACACACCACATCTTCTTTATTCAGTCATCAGGTGATAGACATTTGGGCTCTTTCCATAGTTTGGCCATTGTTGATAGTGCCGCTGTAAACATTGGGGTGCATGTTCCCCTTCAAATTGGTATTTTTGTGTCAGTTGGGTAAATACCTAGTAGTGCAATTGCTGGGTCATAGAGTAGTTCTATTTTTAACTTTGAGGAAACTCCATGCTGTTTTCCAGAGTGGATGCACCAGTTTACATTCCCATCAACAGTGTAAGAGATTCCCTTTTCTGTGCATCCTTGCGAACATCTGTTGTTTCCTGTATTGCTAATTTTAGCCATTCTGACAGGTGTGAGGTAGTATCTCATTGTGGTTTTGGTTTGTATTTCACTGATGATGAATGATGTTGAGCATATTTTCACATGTCTGTTACTCATCTGGAAGTCTTCCTTGGAAAAATGTCTACTCATGTTGTCTCCCCCTTAAAAATTTTTTTTTTACATTTATTTATTTTTGAGAGACGGAGTGAGACCTAGTGTGAGCGGAGCAGGGGCAGAGAGAGAAGAAGAAATAGAATTTGAAGCAGACTCCAGGCTCTGAGCAGTACTGAGCTTAACATGGGGCTCGAACCCATGAACCATGAGATCATGACCTGAGCTGAAGTTGGATGTTTAACTGACTGAGCCACCCAGGCACCCCCTTCTCTCCCTTTCTTCCCTGGATTATTTGTTTTTTGGGTGTTGAGTTTGATAAGTTCTTTATAGATTTTGGATACTAACCGTTTATCTGATATGTCATTTGCAAATATCTTCTCCAATTCTATAGGTTGCCTTTTAGTTTTGTTATGTTTCTTTCATTGTGCAGAAGCTTTTTATCTTGATGAAGTCCCAATAGTCCATTTTTGCTTTCATTTTCCTTGCCTCTGGCAACGTGTCTAGTAAGAAGTTGCTATAGCTGATGTCAAAGAGGTTGCTACCTGTGTTCTCCAGGATTTTGATGGTTTCCTGTCTTGGATTTAGGTCTTTCATCCATTTTGAATTTATTTATTATTATTATTTTTAATGTTTATTTATTTTTGAGAGAGAAAGAGAGCGAGAGAGAGACAGACAGACAGATAGATAGACCAACTGAGCAGGGGAGAGGCAGAGAGACAGGAGGGCAGAGAGAGAGGGAGACAGAGGATCCAAAGCAGGCTTTGTGCTGATAGCAGAGAGCCTAATGAGGGGCTCAAACTCACAAACTGTGAAATCATGACCTGAGCTGAGCTTGGACACTGGACAAACTGAGCCACCTAGGCACCCCTTGAATTTATTTTTGTGTGTAGTGTAAGAAAGTGGTTTAGTTTCATTCTGCATGTTGCTGTCTGGTTTTCCCAGCAACATTTGTTGAAGAGTCTGGCTTTTTTCCATTGTATATTCTTTCCTGTTTTGTCGAAACATTGTTTCTTATCTTTTAAAAATTTATTTTAAATTGTGGAAAAATAACAAAATTTATCATTTTAACCATTTTTTAAAAGTTTATTTATTTATTTTGAGAGAGAAAGACAGACAGCACCAGTGGTGGAGAGGCAGTGAGAGAGAGAGAGAGAGAAGGAGAGAGAGAATCCCAATCAGGCTCCATGTTGTCAGTGCAGAGCCTGATGTGAGGCTCAAACTCATGAACTGTGAGACTATGACCTGAGCCGAAATCAAGAATTGGATGCTTAACTGACTGAGCCACCCTGGTGTCCCATTTTAACCACATTTCTATTCATTCATTTCTTCCTTCCTTCCTTCCTTCCTTCCTTCCTTCCTTCCTTCCTTCCTTCCTTCCTTCATTAATGAGAGCATGCAAGTGAGTGAGGGGCAGAGAGAGAGGGAGAGAAAGAGACTCCCATCAGGTGCAGAGAGAGAGGGAGAGAGTGTGGAGACTGGAGCGGGACTCGAACTCACCTGATGCAGGGTTGAGCGCACAAACTGTGAGATCATGACTCCAGTTGAAGTTAGATGCTTAACCAACTGAGCCACCCAGGCGCCCCCATCTCCCATTTTAACCCTTCTTAAGCGTATGATTCAGTAGCATGTAGTATATTCACATTGTTATGCAACATTACCACCATTCATTTCCAGAACTCTTTGTATCTTGCAAAAATAAAGCCCTCTACCTATTAAATGATGCTTCTCTATTTCCCCCTCTCCCTGCCCATGGCAACCACCGTTCTACTTTCTATCTTCATGAATTTGACTACTTTAAATACTTCATATAACTTGGATCATACAGAATATGTTGTTTTGTTACTGACTTATTTCACTTAGCATAATGTCATTGTGTGGGGGAAAAACCTAGTCTTCCTCCCATGTTTCTCCTTTACTTTTACACTACTATCATATTTACAATACTTTTGATACCAAATGTATGTGGGTTTCCCCCACCCAGCAATCCTCTGTGACACCGACTGTGTATCCTACAATATAATTCTATTCTGACACTACTTGGAAATAGTGTCAGATCCCACAAGTTAAGAGCTCAGTCACATAAGACTGCTCCCACACCACTTCAGATGCCAGTCACAAGCCAGTCACCTGTGCTTGTGATGAACTGGTTATAAATCTGAGGTTCTACAGCTCCCCCCACCGCACCACAGGTTCAATTAATTTATGCTAGAGCTACTAAGAGAACCTAGGGAAACACTTAAATTTATCAGTTTATTAAAGGATCATCAAACAGCCAGATGAAGAGCTACAAAGGGTGAGGCCTGGGAGGGTCTCCAATGCAGAAGCTTCTGTCCTTCTGTCCTTGTGGACTTCGGGTATGTGGTATGTGGTATGTGAATGTGAATGTGTTCACCAACCTGAAAGTGTTCTGAACTCCATACTGTTGGGATTTTTATGGAAGTTTCCTCAGGTAGTTATAAGTTATTAAGTCTATTTTCAGCCCTTTTCCCTTCTCTAGAGAATAGAGGGTAGAGCTGAAAATTCCATGCTTCTAATTATGGCTTAGTCTTTCTGGTGACCAGCTCTCATCCAAGAGCCTTCAGGAACCCATCCAGAGTCTCCTCATGAGTACAAAAACACTCCTATCACTCAGGAAATTACAAGGATTTCAGGAGCACTGTGTTAGGAATTGGGATCATAGACCAAATAATATAACAAAAGATGCTCCTATCACCCAGGAAATTACAAGGGTTTCAGGAACTTTATGCCAGGAACTGGAGGTAGAAACCAATATATATATATATGTTTTTTGTTCTTTCACAATCATTGAGAGCCATTCATGTTACAGCATGTGTCAGTTTCTTTTTTAAGACTGAAAAACATTTCATTGTATATACTTCATTTTGTTTATCCATTTACTGATTGATGGGACATTTGAATGCGGTCTTTTAGCTGTTGTGAACAATGGTGCTATAAACACAGGTGTACAAATCTTTAAGGAAAACTTATTTTTTAAATTTTTAAATAAGTTTATTTACTTATTTTGAGAGAGACAGAGACAGCACGAGTAGGGGAGAGGCAAAGAGAGAGAGGGAGAGAGAGAATCCCAAGCAGGCTCCATGCTGCCAGCTTGGAGCCTGATGTGGGTCTTGAACTCATGAAACCGCGAGATCATGACCTGAGCTGAAACCAAGAGTTGGTCACTTAATCGACTGAGCCACCCAGGCACCCCAGGAAAACAATGGTTTAAACTTACTACATATATAGTCATCTTTACATCCTTGTGAGATAGCTATTATTACTTCCATTTTTTCAGGTAAGGTAACTTATGAAAGAAGATCAATAATTTGTCTGGACTGATACTGTTTTGTATTAAATAATTTTAACTATTGTATCTAGTTAGATTAAATATAAACCCTGTTAATAAGATGTCTCTTTCCTAAAATTTTCCACGCAGCAATTCATTGGAAACAGTTGTAATCCCTTTCAATGATTATAAATACAGTTACTTCCAAATCACAGACCCTATTTAACTTGTCATATAATAATTTTTCTTATTTTCTTTAAACTCAAAAATGTTATAATTATGTAAGCTTTAGAATCTCAAAATGTTGATTTCCTGACTTACCTGGGATTTTTAAATATCTTTCTTCCTTTTTTTTTTTTTTTGATAGACTTACATTTCTACACTAGCAAAAGAGCCAGGTGGTGTAGGTTGCACTTGTTTTCCTCTGTGAATTTACTATGAATTTGGCTGTTTATCTTGAATTTCTAAATAAAAACAAATTTAAGTGCTTCTTAATTATCATATTGTTATACTCAGTATTAATTTGTATTTCTACCCCCCTCCCCACAGTGGCAAAGAAGCCTAAGAAATAAGGTCCTCTCTCTAGACCATAAAAGTAGAAAAAGTGTTCGTGGGCATCCTGTCACCTCTAAGTCATCACCAGAAAGGTAAGATACATGTGTGTAGGACATAGGGTGGGCTTACATTGTGTATAAATAGTGTGACTGAACATGGTGATTCATTTAGCTTCTTTGGATCTCAGATACATAATTTTGAAAAACAAAGACTAAATTCAGTGGCCTGTAAGCTTCTTTCAAGTGTGAACTCTCTGTGATTCTAAGTCAGCCCTCTCTTTGTGTATTTGGAACATCTTGATTAACTTTAGCTGATAAAATGAAAGTTACATATAGACTTGATTATAATGCTTGATTCATCATTTGTGGTCTGCAGTGAAAAAGATGCTGAAATTAGCGCTTAGTGTTAATAAATTACTGTTACACTAGAATTAAATATCTGGGAGATTCAAATATGTAAAATTATCAGAAGGAATTTAGAGCATTTCAGGATTGGACATCTGTAAATGATTAAAAAGTTTTTATTATACAAAAGAGTATTGAATTTTCTTTTTTGGAATAGTGAATGAGTAAAAAAATGAGACTAGCAAAGTAAAAGTTATATATATGGGAGATCACACAAATTAGAAGACTAATTGAAGTTCTTAAATTTATGTCAGAGCACATTGTAAGGTACGTAGTCTTATTCTCCCTTTTCAAGTAAATTGTCTTTAGGAAATGAAAAACATATTGGTATTCCATATCCTTACCAATACTTCATTCTCTTCCTTCCTTCCTTTTTTCCTCCCTCCCTCCCTGCCTTCCTTCCTTCCATCCATCCTGCCTTCCTTCTTTCCTTCCTTCATTCTGTAGATGTCCATGTGGGTATAAATCTGTGTCTCATTGTGGTTTTGATATGCATTTCCCAGTGAAGTTTGTCTTTTTATGTGTTTGTTGGTGACTTTTATATCTTCTTTGGAGAAATGTCTACTTAGATTTTTGCCATTTTAAAATTGTGTTATGTTTCTATTGAGTTGTAAGACTTTATGTATTCTGTATACAATTCTTTATCAGATACATGATTTGCAAATATGTAATCCTGTTCAGCTTTTCACTGTTTTGATGTTGTCTTTTGAATCACAGAGATTTTTTTCATTTTGATGAAGTCCCATTTATCTACTTTTCTTTTGTGAGAGTGATTTTTGTTGTCATATCTAGACTATTGACTAGTCTCAGGTTAGAATGACTTATTCTTGAGTTTTCTTCTAGAAACTTTTAAGGTTCTAGCTATTAGATTTAGGTTTTTATTCATTCAAAATTAATTTTTGGATATGATATGAAAAAGGCATCCAAATTTATATTTTTGTTTTGTGAATATGCAACTGTCTTAGCACCATTGGTTAAAGAGGTACCAGTGTTTTGGTGTACCTTTATTGGAAATCAATTGCCTTTAAATATAAGAGTTTATTTCTGGATTTGAAATTTTATTCCATTGATCTATATGTCTGTCCTTATGCCAGTACCGGTTTGCATTAAGTTTTGAAATTGGCAAACGACAGTTTTCCAACTTTATTATATTTTTCAAGATTGTTTCAGTTGTTCTAGATTCATTGCATTTCCATTTGAATTTTGAATCAGTTAAAGTTTTGTTAATTTTAACAAAAAAGCCCGTAAGGATTTTGATAGAGGACGTGTTAAATCTGTAGACTAATTTGGGGGGAGTTTGGCCATCTTTTTTTCTTTAATTTAAAAAAAAAATTAAAATTTTTAAAAAATTCATTTCTGAGAGAAAGAGAGAGACAGCGTGAGCAGGGAAGGGTCAGAGAGAGAGGGAGACACAGAATCTGAAACAGGCTCCAGGCTCTGAGCTAGCTGTCAGCACAGAGCTGGATGTGGGGCTTGAACCCACAAACCGTGAGATCATGACCTGAGCCGAAGTCGGACGCTTAACCCACTGAGCTACCCAGGCGCCCCTGGCCATCTTAATATTAATTCTTCTGATTTATGAACATGAGATATTTTTCCATTTGGATCCATTTAAATTTCTTTCTGCAACTTTTGGTAATTTATTTTCTTCTTTTTGATGCTGTTAGTGGAATTGTTTTCTTAATTTTATTTTCAGACTGTTCATTGTTAGTGTACAGGAATTCACTAGATTTATGTATATGAACATTATATGCTTGTTTAAGGCTTCCTAGATCTAGAAGTTTTTCATAGATTGCTTAGAGTTTTATACATAAAGACAGTTTTACTTTTTTATTTCCAACCGGATGCCTTTAATTTTTTTTCTTTGCTTAATTGTCCTGTGTAGAATATCTAGAGTGATGTAGAATAGAAGTGGTGAGAATGAGCATTTTTGCTTTGTCCCCACTCTCAGAGGGAAAGCATTTGGTAATTTTTTTTTTTTTTTTACAAATAGTTTATTGTCAAATTAGTTTCCACATAACACTCAGTGCTCATCCCCAAAGTTCCCTCCTCCATGCCCATCCCCCCTGCCCCCCACATCCATCAGTCCTCAGTTTTTGTCAGCATTCAAGAGNCATGCCCATCCCCCCTGCCCCCCACATCCATCAGTCCTCAGTTTTTGTCAGCATTCAAGAGTCTCTCATGGTTTGCCTCTCTCCCTTTCCCCCACCATTTCCGCCCTTCTTCTCCCCCTTGTTCCTCTGTCAAGTTCCTCCTAATCCTCCTATACGTGCAAACATATGATATTTGTAGCATTTGGTAATTTTAACAGTAAGTATCATGTTAGCTAGGTTTTCATAGATGCTTTGCTATGGTTTGAATGTTTGTCTCCTCTCAAAATGTTTATGTTGCAATCCTAATGCCCAGTGTGATGGCGTTTGGAGGTGGGGCCCTTCGGAGGTTAAGTCATGAGGGTGGAGCACTCATAAATTGGATTTCTGCCTATATAAAAGAGACCTCACAGAGCTTCCTAGTTTCTTCCACCTCTTGAGGATCCAGTGAGAGCTTAGCAGTATGTAGTCCAGAAGGGGGCCTTCACCAGGGCCTGACCATGCTGTCTGGCACCCTGATCTTAGACTTCCCAGCCTCCAGAACATGAGAAATGAATGTCTGTTGTTGATAAGCCACCCACTTTATGGTATTTTGTTATAGTAACCCAAATAGACTAAAGTATGCTCTTTTTCATCAGTAGGAAATTCCTTTCTATTCCTTATTTGTTGAAGGCTTTTTATCATGAATGTGTGTCAGGTTTTGTCAAATACCCTTTCTGCATTTATATCATGTAATGGGTGTCCTTTAATTAATATGTTACGTAAACTGATTTTTAGATCTTAGGTCAAATTTGCATTGAGATAAATCACACATGATCCTGATTTATGATCCCATTTATATGTTGCCAGATTCAGTTTGCTAGGATTTTGTTGAGGATATTTTCACTTGTATTAAGAAGATAAATTCGTCAGAGGCAGTGGCTCAGTTGGTTAAGTGTCTGACTCTTGATTTTGGCTCAGGTCATGATCTCACTATTTGTGAGATTGAGCGCTGCTGTGCTAGGTTCTGTGCTGACAGCGAGGAGCCTACTCGGGATTCTCTCTCTCCCTCTCTCTTTCTGTCCTTCCCCCCACTCACATTCTCTTACTTTCAAAATAAATAAACTTAAAAAGCAAGAGAAATTCATCTGCTGTTTTCTTACTTTGTCTTGTGTGGGGTTTGGAATCAGACTAATACTGGCCGTGTAGAATGAGTTGGAAAGTGTTCTTTCTTCCTTTGTTTTCTGGAAGAAATTTTGGAGAATTGATATGAATTTTCTTTCAATTTATTTTTGTTAAGATTTTACTTTTAAGTAATTTCTACACCTAACTTGAGGTTTGAATTGATGATGATTAAGAGTTGCTCGCTCTACCAACTGAGCCAGCCAGGCACCCAGCTTTTCTTTTTTTGTGTGTTTGTTTATTTTTGAGAGAGAGAGAGAGAGAGAGAGAGAGAGAGAGAGAACACAATCGGAGGAGGGGCAGAGAGAGCGGGAGACACAGAATCTGAAGCAGGTTCCAGGCCCTGCACTGTCAGCACAGAGCTCGACTTGGGCCCGAACCCATGAGCCATGAGATCATGACCTGAGCAGAAGTCAGATGCCCCTCCAACTGAGCCACCCATGACTCCTTGCTTTTTCTAAATCTTAAGGTATATGGTGAGGTTATTAATTTGAGATCTGTCTTCTTTTCTAACATAGCCATTTTACAATTTTAAATTTCATCTGAGCACTGCATTAGCTGCATCTCATAAATTTTGGTGTGTTGTGGTGTTTTATTCATTAATCTCAAAAGTGTTTTCTAAATTCTGGTATGATTTTTTTTTACTCATTTGTGGAGAAAGTGTATATTATTTAATTTCCACATTTTTGAAAACTTCCAAGATTTTATTGAGGTATAATTGACATAACATTATATTAGTTCAGGTGTACAGTGTAGTGATTCATTACTTGTATATATTGAGGAATGATCACCATAGTAAGTCTAGTTAACATCTGTCACCATGCATAGTTATACAGTGTTTTCCTTGTGAGGAGAACCTGTAAGATTTACTTTCTTAGCCATTTTCAAATATAGGATACAGTTTTACTAAGTACAGTCACCATGTTGTGTATTATATTTCCATGACTTACCTGCTAATTTTTAATTGAATTCCATTGTGGTTTGAGAACATTCTATATAATTTCCTTTAAAAAATTTTTTTAAGTTTATTTTGAGAGAGAGCGAGAGAGAGAGAGTGAGAGAGTGAGCGCACACGTGGGGAAGGGGCAGAAAGGAGAGACAGAACCCCAAGCAAACTCTGGACCATCAGTGCAGAGCCTGGTGCGGGGCTCAAACTCACAGACAGCAAGATGATGACCTGAAGCAAGATCAAGAGTCAGTGCTTAACTGACTATGCCATTCAGGCATCCCTGTATGACTCCCTTTCTATAAATTTACTGAGTTTTTGGTCTTGCATGTGGTCTTGCTTGCAGAATGTCTTGTGTATTTGGGAAGAATGTGTGTTCTGTTCCTATTTGGTGGAGTCTTAGATTGAATTGGATGGTACTGTTATTCAAGCTCCTGTTATCCTTGTCGATTTTCAGTCTAGTATTTCTGTCTGTTATCAAGACTGGTATT